TACCACGTGACGTCATGCTCAGTATAAAAATGGGGGTGGGAGGGGGGGCTCACGCCCCCGTTCACGACACGCAATCAGCGGTTGGTGAGCAGTTGCATTGTATATTCTGTTATTGTTGTTGTTATCATTGTTATTAATACTGTTCTACTTTGTTTTATTTCCATTATTAAACTGCTCTTATCTCAACCCATGAGTTTTCCTAGTTGTGCCCTCCCGATTCTCTTCCCCATCCTAACGGAGTGGGAGGGTGAGCGAGCAGCTGCGTCGTGGTTAGTTGCTGGCTAGGGGTAAACCACGACATTACTACAAAGGTGACAAATCTGAAAAAGGTTCCTGAGGTTTGTGGCTTTAGAAAGTCTCAACAGAGAAACTTTATTCTTGTCATATTTCACACATTTAAAATAAAACTCTAGGTCATGCAACAATCAAAATCTTAGTCTCAAATTCTCTATCAGTTGTTTTGAATTAACTTATTTTCAATATTGATTGCTTCCCAAAGGGAAACCTCTGGAAGAAGATCCCACTCCTTGTTCAGCATAACCCTAATAAACTCAGTTTGCCTATTAAGTAAGTGTACTAAGAATACTTAGTAAATTTGCTTCAAGATGACAGAAAAGCAAAAGCCAGGGCTTCCTCCTTTCCCCTCACACATCAACATAACAATTACCCATCCTATTTTGTTAAGAAACAGAGCTGATTGATAGTACTGTAGATGAAAAGGAATGATGCAGTAGTAAACAACAGTTAGTGAAGTGAAATGCTATCATTTATCAAATGACAATCAAACATAAGAACCTGAACATAGCAGGTATCACCTTTATGCAAAGCTACATACTCTGTAATACAGCTACAGAATGGCAATATTTTCACTTTATATTAATCTTTGTGAATTATTATTGATCTATAAACTGAATTAACTGAATAGCTCTTGTGTTAACATTTGGACAATTTTTTTTGTTAACCTGTTGCTGAATAAGCATACATTTCAGTCACTTCTGAACATAGTTTAGTTTAATAAGAAAAGAAAAAGAACTTCATAATTTACCCTTTAAAATGAAAAGCACCAGAAATTAGACCCTCCTTTGTGCTTCAGACACCTCTCACTCTTGCATCAGTGTAATGAAGTCCATGAATTTGTCCATATATATTTAATGTGAGGGAAGAATCAAATTCATTAAGGTAATCAGCAAAACATGAAAGACCTCACTGCACAAAGACAAGGGGAAAGAATTCAGCACTGCTAGTACCACTGCAGAAGGCAGGGAGCTGGCTGCTTGCTAGGCAATGAGATGATGCTTTTGCAGGCATAAGAACCAAAGTAAGCAAAAAGATATACGTGAGGCAGGAATATGAGAAGATACTAACACGGAGCGACCTCAAGGTACTGACAGCTTCAGTGTTGTCAAATCCATTGGCAGCAAGGAGTTTGAACGAGGGATGATATCAAGAAAAACAATAAACGGATTTTTGGGGCGGTTTTATGGAAGCCCCTTCCCAAGTGCGCAGGGCACTGAAAGGCACTCAACACAAAATATACCAGATGACACTCTAAGCACTGATCTCCTAGAATACTGGTAAGTGTTTCTGCTGCTCCTGTAACCAGCTACACAATTCTCCTTGATCCTTTCCAAGCACTGAAGAGAGATGCTGTGCAGTGGAGTGAAGCTGTGCTTACTGCTAAGACCTAGTTGAGCTCTGCAGTGATAAATTGGGTAAGAAAGAGGAGATGGAAATCAGAAGAGACTAATCATTTTCCTCTGGCCCTTCTCAGCCCTGATCTCCAGGAAGCCTGCAGAGCCAAGATGCTGCTGCAAATGCCTCAGAAGGGTAAACGGAGCTTGAGGGTATAATCTCTAAATACCAAACAAATCTCAAGGAAACAGCTGAGAATCAGACAAATTATTAAACTGAGTTGCTAGTGGGGAAAAAACCCACAAATATGAAATAAACGCAAAGCTGCTTGATCTGACTGTTGCCATGGAGGCATTTAAGTCTCGGGGGAATTTCAGCAGGCAGGGCTTGTTGGTAGGACTTAACAGGTCTCCCTGTGCTGCAAGCCACCTAAAATAGCAGGGAAAAACACACTACCAGACTGGGTTATTAAGAAAGTTGAACAAAATCTCTAGAGTCACAGGTAACCATGCATAGATACCGTTTTAAACAGAGCCCCAGAACATCTAACTATTTTAAAGAACAGTGAGAATGCAAAACACTTCTTACCACTCGGCAACATACTTAAGAACCACAAATCAAAAAAACCCAAACAAACAAGAATCAGAACAACGATGTACCACAGAAAAAGAACAGAAGAGATTGAAAGTTTTACTTGAAGTTTTGAAGTTGAAGTTTTACTTGCAGTGGCAGGATATTTGTTAAATAAGACTCCCAGGTGATGTTAGATGCAAAACATGCTCCACAATACAGAAAAGTAAAAAGTCCAATAATCCCAGTGACCTGGGAGAAAAACCCCTTCCTCATCCAAATTTTCGTTATTTGGCAACTGATGGAGATAGCAGGCAGAGAGGAACATGTAAGTGTCAAATCAGTCTTCAACGCTTAACAGGAAGGCTAGAAAGTTTGTTATACATAAAAGGTGGGGTGTGCTGAGGGAAGAGAGGGGAAAGACAGGAGAACCAGAGAATTAGTGCACTACAAAGATGCATGAACATGCAGAAAGCAGTCCAATACCCAAAGACTATTTTAATCAGTCTCCTTTTACAGCTTCATTATATTAGCAAATCACAGTTGTTCTCTGATGGCCTGTCCCCAAAGTTTGTGGCAAAAGTTCAACACATATGACTTCATTTTGATCTATTCTATTTTTTACCCTTTTTCTCATTCCAGTCATGAATCTGTCTTATTTCCCCCTCCCCATGATGATTCGTTTCTTTTCAATGCTAGGAGTGCTTCCAAATATCTGTCATCCACTAGTTTAAAGTACGCACTCCTAGGCCATGCATTTTGTTTAATATTTAGTTTATTAAAACAGGATTGACCTCAATAAATGATGCTAAACATATCGAGAATTCAGAGCTCTGGAACAATCCTGTGCATTTATGCAAGAGACTGCAGTTCTAAGGAACAGAAGCATGACATCTACCTTAACCTGTCCTGCTTCTTTAAAACAGGTAGGAAGCAAAAAATATTATCATTTGCACTTATACATCCTTGCAGCAATTTTATTTTCTTATCTAAAGATGAGAAACTGATCTGGCTTAGGAGTAATGTAGCAAAAAGGTTAGTTTAAAATCAGATGAATCCCCCATTTGGTGCGCAACACATCTACATGAATGCATGCTCCAGCACAGGAGGAGGAGAGTGGTGAGGGCAGAAACAAATGGTCAAGAAGAAGGGAAGACTGGCTCTTCTGATCACAGTGCTGGCTAAGAGCACAATGACAAGTCCGTGCAGATATTACAATGAAATTCTAGTTTGCTTTATGTTATGAAGGTGCACACAGATGCTATTTCTGTTAAGCTATGGCACCTACGAATCCTACCTTCAGAAGTTTTGAATCCTAGAATGGCATAGTATAAACTTTGAGCTATTTGCGATTCCTGAGAGGCATCAGCTCCTCAGATCAGTAAGTACCTCCAGTACACTGAAAGTACTTCTGTGACATTAGTCACAGAACTCTCATTCACTTTTTAATGAAGCAAGCAAACAAAAAACCTTCCAAAATTTACCTCAAGAGCACAAAACGAAGGGTGATATCTGAAATACCATACCTGTGGCTTAACATTTCTAAGAGATACTGGATTTTATAATTTAAAAAAAAAAAAAACAACTACAAACATTCAAAAAATGTACTCTCTCAGGTTTAGTAAGAAAACATGTTCCAACATGCACTTGTATGACTCAGTAATACTCACGTGTACTTTAGGTGTGGGAGGAAGGCCATTACTAATTGGTTTCTAGAAAATAAAAGTTTAAAAGTATGTTTACATGTTTTTTCATGCACACATATACATGAACATGCATATTCTCTCCCCACACTACAGCATAACCAAAATACAAGTCTAAGAAAATTTTTTTAGAATGCTGTTAAAAGCACTTGATAAATAATTGAGCATAATTATATTAGGAGATAATAAAAAAATAAAGTTGTGTTGTATATTTCTACACTATGCTAAATGGAAGGCACTAGGCACCTACTGGGACACTCTGCTATGTCCACTGCCATATGTACTAGATCTGAAAGCCATGGCTGAGCTTCGGCCTCAGTCCCATTTTTAAGCATAAGGTTAGGCTAGAGACCTGCCTTCCAACCAACACTTCCATAATTCTGTATGAGTTTGCTAACCATGTGTCTCTAGTGACCACACACCAGAAACCATCAGTATCATTTTCTTTCATTAAAACCTCTACTGATTCCCTAATATCTCCTCATTGAATGTCTGCATAGTCTATTGTGCAATGTTTTCACATTATGATGATGCCTGAAAGAATGCCGTATCTAGCAATACAAAGCTTAAGCAATATTGCAGCAATTGTTCAATTGTTCAATATTACAAGCAGCATTAAACTCTATCAATCAGTACCAGACCCACATTCCTGTATCAGTATCAATTTCTCCTAGTAAAAACATGCTTCCGAAGAAATGTATTTCACAGGTAACACAGGAAACTTCAAACACTACTTCAAATGCCACGTTCAAAGCAGTTCAGGAAATCATACTTTCCAAAGTACTGCCAGTAACACTTCCCTAAAACAAAACAAAAGCGCACACAATGTTTCTGCTCTATTTGCTCTTCACTTCTCTCAAAAGAGCGACATTTCCAACCTCATCCTTAGAAGAAGCCCCTAAAGAGTGCAGTTTCATATTACATTTAATCTAACTACAGATATCCCACTCTCTCCTGTCTCACATCCCACTTTTGCTTTTGCATCATAATAATAGAGTGACCACTCTGGAAGCCATTTGCTGCTTTGATAGAAAAACTCACTTGGAAGAGGAGAAAGGGATGCAGCAATATTCCCTTTCCTCAGCTCACAGCTGGATCAGATTACATGTGGCGTAAAACTGCATTCTCTCCAAAAGTGCAACTTCACATGAGTATATGTAGCTCGTCTGACACTAAACCCAAGCTGCTAAACCCTGAAACCCAGAGCTCCACAGGCCAGCAGGCAAACAGCTTGCATAGCTGGACCCTCAACCTACATTTCTCCATCTTTTTTCCCCTGAACACCAAAAAGCTGTATGCCTACATCTGAGATAGGAGAAAGACTCATTTGGCAACAGCCGTGATTCAGCTCCTTTCACAGGGCCAGCCAAATCCTCCAGCAAGCCATCAGGTGGCAACATATTCCTTAATTTCCTCATTTGCTTAAATGGTCATTGCTCAGTGCAACACACTGCATCTCTCTGGCAGGATCTCGCTCTCATTACATGTCTCTCAAGTATGTGAATACAAGCAAGTAAATCTTGTATATCCATGATTATGTTAGTTTCTAATGAAAATTAAATACCGACTCAAACTTCAGCTTAAGACTGTATCATAACTAGACGATCTAGCAAAACTGTGCTTTGATTCAAAGTAAACAAGATGCCATCCAGCATAATTTCTATACTAAAGAGTGTGCCCGCTTCTTTTCACTGCACATGTAAAACAGTCGAGACAACTTTAAAATAACACCTAGAAGCTTAAATACATACCAGTATTTCCTTCTTTTCTTTCCTTGAAAAATTAGTGTCTCTAGCTTCATTCTGTTGATGTGGTGATCCCTCTCTTTCACCATTTAATTGTACAGAAGTGACTCCATTACCTAGAAAGATTCATATTTAAAAATGTATTCTTCTACCTTCAACTCAGAGAGTAGTCTAGCCTAAAAACAATTTTGAAGGGCCAAAATTTCCACTTATGTCAGAACATGTTCAAATACCCTTATTTATTTCTGAAGCATACATGTTCCTACATGTGCACATATAACTATCTATAGAACCACATTCAATCTCAGTTCATGGCTTTTGGTAATTAATATAACAAATCTATTGTGGGCATAGAAAGGGATGCAGTCATGGTTATGAGGAAAAATGTATTTAACATATCTAAAGAAAAACTTGGCTATAGGTAACACTTCAATTATCAATTCTTCATAAATAACCTTGAGGCATTTCTTAGCACTGGATGCTTAAGCGTTACAGTCAAATCTGTAACACATCAACTGCAGTACTAAATATGTATCAAGGAAGAGCTAGCAAGATATCAATTAATAGTCAGACTTAAGCTTGCTTAAAACAAGCCAGTCCAGGACAACTCTCAGAGCATCAGACTTTAACAGGAACAGCCTAAGCAAACAGTAAACACACAATTACCTGCTATACTACCCAACCCAGTTCATTATATATAAAAGTAAACTTTGAAAGCAAAACTCTGTTCTTGACATGTCAAATGACAACAACAGTTGACACACAGGGCCAGAATCTGAAACTTACATACAGGAAAACTTCTTTATTCCCTGTGACAATCTTGACACACTAGATTATAAGCCTGTTGCTCAGAAAAGCAATTGTGTCACCAATTGCATCAGCAGGATTTACTAGAAGGTACATTTGACCCTCTTAAGAGTTTAAGCAGGCTTTCTTCATGCATTTTGGCTTTCATGCACTTTGTGTTACTTGCCCACCACAGAAAAATTACCTCAGTATGTTTTAATGTATACATAGGTGAGGATGCAGAAATAAAAATCACGTTAGATTATTTAAGAAATATTTGTGTACTTCTTGGTGTCACTCCTATTACCTAAAGCATTAGATTTCTGTGGAGGTAACCGAGGAGGTGGCGGTCTGGGTGGAACCTGAGATGCAGATTTTGCTGGACTCTCTGATGTTGGGCATCTCTTGATTGTCCCTTGATTGTAATTTTCAGAAGAATGAGTCTCTTGGGGGATAAAGATGGATTTAGGCTGAAAAAGACATAGTAATAATAAAAACATAATGAAAAAAGATTCAAAGCATCCATGCTACTTCTCAATGAGAAAAAAAAAAACTGTGCAATATTTGGATCCTCGAATTTTCACAAGTAAATTGATAATGCAACATGTACTGCCATGCAAATTTCTTTCAAAAAATAAACTAGAAGGAAATGCACAGCAATAAGGAAAACCTTGTTATCAACAAAGGACGAATTCAAAATCATTATACTCAAGTTGTGCATTAAACAATTATTTGGCATGTGGAAATGGCACTGTTTATGACTACAGATTACCAAACCAGACATTTAAGTAGAAACTAGGGAACATTCAATGATATGGCCAGACCTTTGTGTAAAGAATCCCAAATAGGGGATGTAACCACAAAGGGCAACATTGTTTAGATACTGGCTGCACTACTCCTGCTTGTAAAAATCCTTCTCAGTTATGCAAAGATAGTTAGTGTAGGAGGGTAAGTAATCAAATCTGCAGTTTTTACCTCGGGAACTGATAGCCAGACAAAAAAGTAAGTTTTTTTTTTCTTTTTACTTTTGCTCATATTAAGATAACTTCAGTGTGAAAAGATTCACTTACTCTTCCAGTGGCAGCATGCAAACCCTAATCTGATCCAGGCATGCCTCTGAAGATCACCACTCAGACACCAAAAGTTAGCAAGCAGATGCTTTATTTGGCAGCTCTTTATTAAAAATTACTTGTGGCGCTATATTTTTTAACTACCCAATTTATTCATTCTGAAGTATCAGAAGTGTAATTAGTCAAAAACAGCACTTTCACACTGACAAATACCCTACAGTGCAAGACTTCATGCAGATTTGCAATTAAAGGCCATGAACATATAGGTCAACCACCTGGATATACCCTTGACTTAAAACTTGATTCAAGTCTTCAAGTCATGGTTCAAGTGACAGAGCCATCAGGACAGTCATTTAAATGCTTCTGCATTTGTTTGTTTATTTAAAGTGCCCTTTTATTCTGTGCAACAAAACCCCCCTCACTTACCTTTGGTGGTAAAGGAGGTGGCACTTTAGGTTTCATAGTAGCACTATGAAAAGGAACAAAACAGATTGTTATCCAGTGTAGCTCTCTGAACCTCGCATTGCAGTGTTCAAGAGGATACAGGATTTCATAAATGCCGTACAAATAAACATCATTAACTTGTCAACAGCACTATTACATCCAAATAACTGCATCATGAATACTTTCAAACATTTTGTTATTGCTGTGCATACCACAAATACTATCCGAAAACTCAAGTATCACAGATCCTCCCTAGAGAGCACAAAGTGACATGAACTGATTTGCTGAAGATGCACATACTTGTGCAGAAAAAAGTATGGAGATGCAGAGCAGGCCTGATATTTACTCTGTTGGGAGGAGAAAGATTTAGGGTATCAGTGAGCTTTTCTAAAGGGCCATCTGTAGGTATATAGGGCAAAAAGGAGTTACGCTGCTGAATACCATTAAAATGATGAATACTATTCCCTGAAAAATTTACCACTGACTTCTTCAGAACAGCCTTACACATGAAAGCAAAATTCATCTGCAATGGACAGCGAGCCTACTGTCTGGGTTGTTTTGGGTTTTTTTTTCATCCATGAGTTTCTTTTTTCACAGAAATCTTGGGAAAGACAACTTTTTAACGCAAGAACAATTCAACAGCTTGGCTCAACAGTACAAGATACCAGCACGAAACAAGAAAGCTGAAGCATCAGGAGCATTCTTCCTCTGCTGGTTCTGTGTTTTAAAGAATATGCTGCATTTTTTTAAAAAATCCTAAATTCCTGATTTTTTTATGTTTTTAAAAACTTTTACACTGTCCTGCTTCCTAATCTTTTGGAACAGAAAATTATTTCCATTAAATAAATCAGGAATACAGCTGTGAAAACTTGACATTCTTGCACTATATTTTCCTTATTTTTAAATTACGTTCCAAAGTTTTGGGAAAATATCCAAGTAGTAAGATATCTGTTTGCTTGTTTACAGATCAACAACTTGTCTGCCTTGCTTCATTCTTTTCAGGAGCTTCTGTCCTGGCATCTTATCAGTTGCTTTTATTTCAGAGAAGTTGGAAGGGGACTTCGGAGAATGGGTTACCCTGTGTCATGCACTTCAGCTGCTGTGGTGGTGGAAATTATCTTATCTTCATAACACGGGACCAAGCTTAAGTCCTCAGTCATGTGTGTCCAAGCTGCATTTGTATTTTCTTTCATATTCTTCCCTGCATCTCAGACAGCCATCAGAGTGTTATTGGGCAGCCAAACGTAAAAAACAAAAAAGCCAACGATTTGGCATAAATGTGACAGATGTTTGTACAAAGAACTGTGTGCCCTGGTTTCAACAACAAGGTTTATGTGCAGTTTGTCACCACTGATCTCGCAGGGCAGTGCTCCAACAATTTCTGCTTTCCCAGCTTCCATAACCAGGAATTTCAAGCATCATCAGCTTTGCTGCACAAGAGAGAAAAAGAAATATCAAAAAACCAATCAAAATTATTAAATGAAGAGAGATAATTTTATATTGTTCCCTGAAGTGTGTGGATTCTCTGCCGCGATGAATCACCTTGCTTCAAAGTCATGCAGTGGCATCAGTTTGGACTGGAAGGCATATAGCTGCTTCATTGTTTTTGTTCTGGATCTGAAGGGAGAAGTGACTAATATCACATGTGCTCTTCAACTGCAGCTCCATCTCACAAACAAACAAAAAATCAAACAAAAGCCTTGAATCTTCAGTGGGCTCCAGAGAAAGATATCGGAGACCGAGCTGATGAACCAACATATTGCAGCAGAGCTTTGGGTTCAAACAGATACCAAGAGGAAAGGCACAGATGCAGAATCTGTCTGATCCAAGGTTGAGGCATTCAAGGCTTACCCCTGTGCTTACAGAAAATTGTCAGGCCCTCTCTGTAGGGCAAGAGTACCTAGGATGAAAAATGGTAAGAAGCAAAAAACACCCGGAATTTTTTGGAAGACCATTGGTGACTGCCCTTAGGGTCAGACAAATGGGAACCTCCCCGGAAGTTATCAGGTTCTCTCTTGCTTAAACTGAAAAAGAAAATCCAAAGAAACATGACAGCGACAGAAGCAGCTAAAGTCAATACTGTTTGAAAGTTCTGATGGAGTTTATGCAAGGATCTCAAAGCACTGGACAAAGAAATCAGTGCAAGCACTTCAAGATAGCAGTGATCAAGAGGTTCCAATCCCTGGAACATTACTGAAGTTGATGATACTGGCTACAAACAGAGCAAGAAATGGGGGAAAGAAAAAAAAAAAAAGAAACATTAAGCAAAAATGAACAGACACAGAACTGTACACAAAAAACATCCAGAGATTAGTATGGATGGAAGAACCAAGCTGAGCTGGCTTGCAGCAGTGCAGATATCCAGAGCATCTTCATTGAAGGCCATCAGAGTGGAGCTGGCAGTATGGAGCGATAGGGGACTGTTACATCCTACAGTGCAGGAAGCCTGAGTTATCATTACCAAAGTGAGTTCTCAGCTTGGTCCAAATGCAGAGGAGCAAATCAATGAGTAGCATTATCAACCTCTTTCTCTCAAAGACAAGACACAGGAGCTTCATGTTATTGATGAACGGCGTAATCAATCATACCTTTAAACAACCGCTTAATAATGAAATATGAAGAATTTCTTAAGGAATTAGCAAGGGAATAAAGCCTGCTAAAAACTGACTAAAAATAATTTTTCTTCTATAAATATCGCTTGTGTCAAACAGCAAACATACTTGTGTTTTGAGAAGTTGATCATTAAACAATGCAAGTTTGATGTACTTGTCACCTAGCTGACATCAGACACTATCAGTAACTTTACCCTTCTTAAAGGGTGCTGTCCCTCATGCTCAGTACTGTGATAAAAACCACTGCCTTTGTTATAAAAGAAAGCAGTAAAATAACTCAAGAAAAAGAGGAGAGAGATTTGGTTCTCTGTAAGAGATAGATGCCAGCAGTAGATAACGCATGTTTTACAGGTTTCTGTTATGAAGTAACAGCTTTCAAAATTATCTGTTAACAGAAAGTAAACAAGAATTCTGTCTCAATGGCATCTTTCTTTTGGTTTTTACATCAGATTTATTTAGGAATGTAGATTTCCACATACTGGCTGTGCATTTTAAATTGTTTCAGCTCTCATCTGTCAATCAAAAAGAGGCCAAGAATACTTTTACCAGTGGAATTTATGAGCATAATTAATTTAACACATGCCTATTGATACTACCTTTGCAGTCACATAACCTTGCTCTCTCTGTGGTAAGGAAGCCAGCTCTATTCCAAAATCAAGCACCCATACAAGTACTCTCCTAGCTGAGAATGTAGACAGAACAAACTCAATCATCTAGAGAAGACAGTTATGTATATATTTTATATATATATGAATGAGCTTTATTTTAATATACAGTCATCAGTTCTAAAGAAGACACCAGGAGCAGGATCAGATGAATTATAGGCTCAATGTAACTACAAGACTTTGTTCAATAATAGAAGATAAAAGGACAACTGTATCAAGCAAGGAACAAGATTTTTTCCCCCTAATTTATCACAAGTTTATCAGCAGAATAAGAAAACTTATGGTGATGTAATCTAGGAACACCATTAAATGCCTATATTTAGAAATGCTATAGAAGAAAAATAATCCTGAGCTGTTAGGGATAGAACATGATTCAACTTTTTAAAAAAATTTGCATCTATTCAAGAATCAGGTTTTATATATATATTTATTTATTTTTACAAAAAGAAAGGACTTACTGTTTAGCATCATCGTCTGCATCATCATCATCTTCTAAATGTGCCACATGTCCCCTAAGAAAATGAACAAGGTACTATGGCTGAGTGAGTTGTATTAAAATTACCTTGGCTACTGCCTCTTTTACAGAATTTTAGTGTCTTTTAGCTTTTTATCATTATTATTATTCTTTAAAGCACAGCTGCAATCCAGACAACTAAGCCTCTCCCATATCCTCTCAGCAAGTACAGGGACAACAAGAACAAGTTGTGACAGACATAAGAAATCAACACACAAATGACTTTGAAACATACAAGAGGGGAAAAAAAAAGGAATAGAATTACCGCTGATGCAGTTCTTCTTCAACTGATTTTAAGAGACTCCTTCAGCATTAAATAAGAATAAGAACACAGTTTAATTGTGGCACAAAAAATTAATTATCAAAACCCAGGGCAAATGCTCCTATTATTCTACCAGTAAATAATCCAAAGCATGTTATTTCAGAACATACATCGAACATCCACATATAAATGAGCATAGCTGCATTTTTTTTTAATTTTTATTTTTTACACAACACATTTTCATATTAATGTATTGCTATCAAGTGCAGTGGTCCTTGTTCCTTATACTGTAAAACAAGGACTGTCTTAGCTTGATCCATTTTAAAACAAATCCACACTATCCAAGAAAATTGTAATCATTAAAAAAAAAAAAAAAAAATCAGACTGACAAGAGGATTAAACTACTATTGGAATAAAGTAATTCTTCCCTAGTTATTTTTTGTAACATTCTGAACGTTTTCATTTTTGTGTCTTTGTCTGAAAACACAGACAGGAAGGAATAGCAGGCAAAACACAGGGATGATAAACAACAGGATTTCAGAAGATATCAGTATTCCTATTTTCCCCAACTAAAAGATTGCATAAAAATATCATGTTCTATGCTTAGATTTTGTGCATTTTTTTTAATATAATTTAATTTAGCAAAGCAAAGCTAGGCATCCTAATTCTGATATGCATAAATGTAAATCAAGAAATTGGGTGAAAAGAAGAATTACATGGAAAAGAATTTCATGTGATGAATACAACAAAATTATTCATGTATGAACATGAAGTTAAAGGACTTTGCTCAGACAGGTAAGTTTTATTTTTTAAAGCATCTATAATTGAATGTTCCTAGTGCCCTACAACATGAAGAAGGGCATAAAGCAATGTCAAAGAGCAGCACTGGTAGTTCCTAGATGGAGTAAAACTGTGCTCTGTGGAACCTATCATGCAGAACCTTTTGTTAACAAGCAGACCAAGATAACGGCTCTTAAAAGGAAGTTTAAAGCACCATAGAGACAATATGGTCAACACTGCCTTAAATACTGAAAAGTGCTGTAATTCTGTACCATTGGAATTACTGTTATTTTAGAAATAAATAGTGATTTTGGAATTGTAACTGATATAAACAAGCTTGACATATTTTACTACATCCGTTTCAGCTAATGTGTTTAACACACATTTGTGATTTTTATATTAAAAGAGTCTTGAATGAATTAAAGACAAAAAATGTCATTGCTTACTCACTTATTTGCACCCAGGAAGTAGCCACACTGAGTACCATGACCATATTCTAGCTGTAGATCCTACAAATATAAGAGAACAAATCTTTAAGATGAACAGGTGAGCATCAAACACATGCCCTGTGTCATGCTGCTGTTATTCCCCCCTGCCACACCTGAGCTAGCAAACGAGCTCATTTGCCCTTCCTGGGCCCTAACACCACTCTCAGGCCCATTGCACCCAAAATCTCCTCTCTGCCAGTTTGCTGCATCTGTAATTCCTTTTAAAACTCTGTCCGTAGCCCCTTCCTTGGACACAGATCCTTTGCTCAAATAAAGTTAGCTGCAGAAAAGGAAACAAAACAACAATAAAAATAATACAATAATTTAAAAAAAAAAAAAAAAAAAAAAGGACTTTGTGATCTACCAGACCCCTTAGGGAACCCAGCCATCCCTCACTGGCACATAATAGTATTCATTTCAGATGGGGAGTAGTTCTGGCAGGGAGCCCGAAATGCCTTTAGCACATGGGGACATTAAAGAAAAGCAGAGAAGACAGCAAAAGTGTTAGCTCTAGTTATAGCAATACATATTTTAAGGATAACTATATATGTTCGCATGTATACTTTAAGATCACCTTTTGTATCAAAAAGAAAAATACAGTATTAACAGCAAAGTCGAGCACTCAAGCAATCATGGAGCATGGGCTACTTAGAAAAAGAAGTGGCAATAGGCCTCCAACACTATTATTCAATAGACACCGTGTGGCATACAAATTTAATGCCTGAGTGGGAATACAGGGACCATATTGAAGCACCATCAAATCCACACCTGCCAGGAGGATACTACTATAATTACAGGGTATTTTTTTCTTCAGGTGGATCACAACAGGAAAAAAATCTGAGCATAAATTTGCTCCCAAAATACTGAGTGTATTCAACAGGAGAAAGAAGTTATTGATCACCTACGTTAGTGATAAATGGAGCTACACTGCTCCTTTCCAGGAAACATTTTAAAGATCTCCCAACATCTTCTGTCAAACAGGCCTCTTTCTGCTGCAGCCCTTATCAAAAGCATACCATCCCTCAGAAAGATGCCCAGACATCCAACGTATAAGAGCAATAAGCTTGAATTAGACAACGACAACTCATGGGGCTGATCTCTCAAAAGGGCATTTTTAAAAATCAGAGAAAAAGTCTCACACTAGATTTGCCAATGCTCCAAGCTGATGAAGCAGAAGCCACTGCAGCTTTCAGTTCCAGACTGAAGGGTAACCACTTTAATACAAAGCTATGTATATTGTTTTCTGCTCGGGGAGGAGTTCCAGGTGTTTGCTGCACCCTCAATTCTGCTCTGTAAAGCTAAGTAGTAGTTTCCACATAGGTATTTCTACCACAGCTGTCAGTAGCATCTGATTGTTTCAGTGACTTTCCGTATTTTCCCAAGACAAGTGAGATATAGTGAAAAAACAGTATGTCACTGATAATTACTTGATGTAAAAGAATGCATAGATCAGAGGGTTGAATAAAAATTGCAAAGGCAAGCCTGATGCTGGCATTTCCTGAACCATAGAGAGACTGACTTTTCAATCTTCGTACCAACTTTATTACGCATCTTTTTTCTAGAATTAAACGAAGAAACCCCAAAACCACAAACCCCATCCACTTCTATGGATCTGACTCACAAGGGCCACCAGACTTTCCTCCTAGATATCTGTCAGTGGAGCTAGAAAGTTAGGTGACAGAAAAGAAGGGCTCTCAAGTGGCCATGCCGGCAGGGAGGAAGGCTCACTCCTCTCCAGGAACATTTCCCGGGCTCTGCGAGGCAGCAGGTGGAAGGGGTCAGGCCTCAGTCGTGGGTATCTTTGATCCCTTCTGCTATCCTTATCTTCCTTCTTCAGTTTCATCCTCCTCCTATGCCCCAATCTCGACTCCTCCTGCTCCTTGCTCCAAAAAAACCTCAGCAAGTCTCCTTCCCTCAAGAAAGGCCATCCTAGGCCCTCCACAATTTCAGTCTCTTCATCACTCCCAATATCTGTCACCTTATCCAATTCCTTTCTGCTGGTCCTCACCACCAGTGGATGTACTCCAATGCACCACAAAGAAACACTGATTTAACTTTCTTTACTGCAAGTACTTAGATTACTTCTATGCAATCTCAAAAACCTCCACATGTAAGCACGGGTATTTTGAGGATTCAGGCTCTAGAGCAGAAAATAAAAAGACTGGAAACATAAGATGTCACCAGACTCACAAACAAGGAGGTTAAACAGGTTGTGTGAGTCTATGTAAGAGGACATCAGAACAAAGACTGGGAGGCTGTTCAGTAAAATAACCCCAGATCACTATAATGAAATCTGAGATTTTCACCTTCAAGTGACAAGCATTTTGTCTACATATTGCAAAATCACATTAATCAAAAGTGGGAAACAAAGATCTTATGCTGGGCAGCGCCAAAATGTCTATCCATTTTAATTTACACACTGTGAAATGTATGGCTATATATATTGTATAGCAATGACAGGAAAATTAATAAGAGAAAATAAGCAAACCCCCATAAAACATAAGGAGCCTTAATCTGTCACCAGACTTTTTAAGCCTTACTGGAACTTTCTTTATGAAAAATGACATCTGTCAGAATTACTTATGTTTAAATGCTTTAAAAGAGCAAAAGCTTTGTTTTGATTCAGTTTACTATTGTGCTGCCTATTAGCATTTATTTGACTATGATTCTAATTGGGTATGTATATTTTTTGCCTTCACTAGCTTGTTAGTGTTCTTTTAGGCCCTTTACATATTGCTGGTTTTCACTCTAAGTGTGGGGTGAAGTAATCCATTGCTAGGGAAATTCCTTCTTTTGCCTCTTGACAGATAAATACTGAGAGCTAGAGCTTTTAAGAAGTGCAACACATTTCTTCTTGTACCCTGTGTTCCAAATATATGCAGAAGCTACAATTTTATAAAACTTCTAGCTACATATTTGATACAAAAACATCAGTAAATACTGCATGTATCCTGCAAAGCCTCCAGTGAGCTGGTACACTTTATCAGAACAACCAGTATAACTAGATTTTTTTTTTAAAGCCAAATATAAAAGTATTTTTCAACAAAACAAAAATTTTACCAGTTATGGATTCCCACTGGGAAGAACAGATTAGCATTAATTACTAAATGATGCAACAATTGGCTTAATAAAAGCTGTTACCTCTCCTGCTTCCCTAAAGTAACCCAATAACTTTATGAATCTACATTAATATTTTAATTTAATATACATACAATGCCTATTAGTTAATTAAAATCTTTTTAGATCAGACAACATTCACACGTAATAAATCTGAGTGACTAGACAGATATTTTCCAAGAGAATCTTGAGATCTACAGCCAGTAGGAACAAGAAGATGTCAAAAACCGTGGTGTTAAATCAAAGACGCAACCCCTGATTATTCTGCATTCAGCCTCAAGTTACCAACAACCCATTCCTGAACCAACACAACTGTGTACAAGACAGAGCGCTTTTTGCGGGCAATGATCATTTTGGAAAAAAGGTTATACAGGGAATAATTACCAGTTCTTCTCAACAGCCTGGGTAATATTAAATGAAGAAGTCATGTATCTGAAGTCACCTTCAGATAAATCACATGTGCAAAGTAATCAATGACTAAAAACAGTATAAAGATTTCCTCAAAGCAAAGTCTGATTAGTATGTCTTGGTCCACAACAGAAGAATGAACCAACTACTAAATATTTCTTCTAATTTCCAGAAGGATTAGGTCTTACTGAAAAAATCCCACAAATGGGTGAAGCATTACCACCAAATGAAGAGAATTCTCCTCTTTGATTCACGATGAACACAGGAAGTTGTGAAGAAAGCAGTGAAACACAGAAAAGTGCTGTCGACTGACTTTAAAAACCCTCTCAAGATTGTGACAACTTTAAAAGCTTTATCATAGTAATCATTTTTGAAGAGTGTACTGAACAGGATGGGGCAAAAGAAGAATGGGAAAGGACAGTCCAGTTAGGAGACATGTTCTCATTTGTCTCTTAGACCTACAGATACTAGGCTAGCAAGATATGCGACAACACTGAAAGTAACCTGAAAAAGACAGATTTTAAAAGTGTTAAACTGAAAAGACAAAACCAAAAGCAAACCAAACTAAAAAACCAAAACCACACTCCCAAACCAGAGCCACTGCACAGGATGGAAGTGTTCCCAAAACAATTTGTGAAACATTTTTATAATCAAGCAATACAAGAAGTTCCTTCCAAGAATGGGGAAGACAGTCTAAGCTCTCAGTAACTATGGTATTGGCAGATTCAAGTAACACCAAGCCAACTGATGCCAAAACAAACAAAAAAATCCAAAACAAAAAACAAAACAAGACATTCCCAAACACCCGAGTTTTCCATTTTCCCCTCAGTGCACTTATATTAAACATCTCACAAATCAAAGAAAGTTAGCAGAATAATGCTCTTCATCTAGTACGGAATGGTTCTTCATTTTTTTTCAACAGTATATGAAGATGTCCAAGATTTAAAAGCATTACTTTTCTAACTATATTGTGCCTAAAAAAGCAGAGAAATAAGAAAACTCACTTTCTAGAGTAATTTCTACACTGCAATGCTAATAACCGAATTTTTTAGCAGCGCAGTAAGAGAAAATTTGGAAAATGTATCCGACTATAAACGATGCCAAATGCCATTGAAAACACTTATGACCCCACTTTCTGTTATTTGTATTAAGTATATATTCATTCTGTAACATAATTATCATCTGGAGAATTCAAAGACTTGCATTTATATAATTTTATAGCCTTTCATGGGACTATTTAAAGGAACTACCAGACAAAAATACGAAAAGAATGTCTCTTCTATTTTTAATCACCCTCCAAAAAATTAACAAGTTATGCATTGTAAGGCAATTAAATAAAGAAATTAGAATGAGTGCATAATACTGAGCCCCTTCTAGAAAAGTGACTCAACACGAATATGGGTTAAATACTACGAATTCCTTCCCATATTACAGAAATACACATATAGACTAATCCTTATATTGAATGGCTTTTACACAGATGAAAACACGAGTACAACAACAGGACAAAACATGAGCTTTGAAAAAGGAAAAACAAAGACAAAACTAACACTGACAAAGAAAGGCATAAGATGAAAAATACCAGGTTAGATCTTGCAGTGTAGTATATTTCTTCTGAATTGTCCAAAAAATCGCTACTGTCAGGCTGTTCGTTAGATAGAGATCAAAAAACTCAAGTTATTTACATTGTGACTGAAAGCCAGGTATACATAAAGGGAAATTTTCTTGCTAAAAAAAAGTTTAGTTGAAACTCAAACCATGTTAAAACAGTTCTGGGGATGGGGGTAAAACACAGCTAAGGGTATGGTCACATTACCAAAAGCTACCGAATCACACCAAAACAATGAATTATTGTTCATCACCTGAGCTGTGGTAATGAGCGACAAACTGCCTCAGTAAGAGGCAAGTATGTACTAGTTCAACATCTCAGTGCACCACCACCAACAACTCATCATGCTGCAGTGGTCCAGGCCTTTGGCTTGTGCACTCATACCCGCAAGTAAATAAGCATAAAGTTTAAGCACGCTTTAGTGAGACAGAAGCAAAAGGGTCAGAAGAACTGCTTTAATGAAAAACGATCCACACTGTTATTGCTGGAGGAAGAGACAGGCATCTCGCTCCCACTTCCATTTAAAAGACTTTCTCTCCCAGAGCGTGTAGATTGTTACAAACTTGTCCCTTGGCCTGCTTTGTGCTAAGGCTCTTTGCTAGAGCATCCATTCTTTGAATAGATCTCGTTTGCATTTGACATGCCAATTTAAATTGTCCATTGGTTCTGTATTTAATGACAAAATATGGTTTTTCTTTCGTCTCTAGACTCAACGTCATTATTTTCAAAATCATAGTTCTATTTTATCTGGAAAGGACAGATCAGGTCTGCATGCTTCATTCTGATATGAGCAGTGGAGCAGTTAATTTCCCTCTTCAGAAAGATCCAAACAAGCAGTTATAGATCTTCCTTATAGACAGGGAGATGAGGCAAGTTCTTTGGACAGGTTTCAAATATGCAAACTCTAACAGAAGTAGACAATACTAAGAGATTTCCTTATCAGCAAAATTAATCTGGATCGTTCAAGTCACTTCTTGGAGCAGCAAGAGCTTCTGAGATTCCAAAGTGCAAAGGTCCTGATTGCTAATGCACAACGTAGGAAAAGGCTCGATTCCTCCCTTCCGACAACACCTGCCAAAGAAGTCCTCTCAAAAGTTGTGCTTTAATCCCTGCAGAAAATCTCTCTCCCCAGTTTAGCAACTCGGATTCCTAAGGTGCAATGAAAACATCTCTCTGCCCCATGAAGCTGCCCACTAACTGGTTTGTATAGTCAGTGACTGATAAAACAAGAAAGAAACGGAAAAAGTTTTTTTAAAACTTCAGCTTCTCCATTAACATACTTTTGCAAGTATGATTTTGTGTGTGTATAAATAAATAAAATTCTTAAGGAGCAAAAGCATTATAAATTTAAATATACGATGCTACCAAATGTGTTTTCTTTATAATCCAGACAATGCAACATGGAAGCAAAGCCAGGATAACTTGGAATCAGTTAAAAAATCATTTTGAGTTAACTGATGAGTTTATAGTAGAAAAACTGACTTCATTACCATATATAATAAACACTCGTATAACTAGGGTTCCTAAATGATGCTGTTATACAGTTCTGTCAAGGTCTAAATAACATATCTGAAATAATTGCCTAAGTCCTATGTGTGATTTGGTAAGCTATTCTCCTCTGTCTCGAACAGGCACCAGAAACTGCAGATTACCTGTCCAGCCAGTTGCTGACGAAGAGCAAAGTTATATACCACCTCATACACCCAGAGCCAGCTGACCCACTACCAAAGGACAAGGCACCAGGAAGGAGATTCTAGTACAACTACAGAGCAATACAAGGAAAACTGCGTCACAAATCCCATTCACATGTGGTTTGTAGACTATAGAAGAGGAAGTACATTCCTAGGTACACACCCTTCTCAAAACCAACTCAGAGCAAAGCCAATGTCCCTCCCACCTATGCACTAAGCCAACTTTTTCACCTTAATACCTGCCTTAGAAAAGCAAAGAGAACACAGAAGTCTGCAGTAAGGAAGCAAAGAAGTGTCTTTTTTATCCAGGAACATGAAGAAACTGCCCAAGTGCACAAATGTGAAAAGCAACAGTCTCCATAGAAGAGAGGAAGCTACTGCAATAGCATGTGAGACAGCACAGATGCCTTTTCGCTCACTGCTTGAGTTCTCACACCCCTTGTACTGATCGGTCCATAGGAAGAAAACATTGGCAATACATCTTTACAGAACATGTCAACTGCCAGACTCGGCGTGGCTCAGCTGTGATGCAGGGCCACAGAATGATTGTTTGCGTGGGAAAATAACAACCCCACAAAAATCCAATCTTTTAAAATGCATCATACCTCTTTCCCAGGCTCTCAATTTTATTATTTCCATTATCAATCATTGTCAATACAAGCACAAGGGAGAGAAACATTTGAGTACGCACGGTAATTCTACAATTAAAAAAAAAACCTCTATAAATAAAGGGAATTATATACTTGGCAATGAGGTATAAAGGATAGAGGAAACCCAAAAGACAAAGGGCTGTTGCTTAGCTCATACATCACACCTGGCAGAGCCCACAAATAAGGGGTCTTGCTGCATATAGTGTAATGGCATCAAAAAATTTAGGACCAGTATGTTTAGGACCAGTTTCAGACTTGTCAGAAAAGTCCCTACCAAATTTAGTATGCTAAGGAAGTATGCTACACGTCTTGGATTTCTCTTCCTCCACAGATATTTGCAGGGAATAATATGCAGAGCATAGCCCATGCTGCTTTTTACTCACAAATTCATGATGTGGCTCTGTCTCTTTCCTCAAGGGTGGATCAAATTTTACTTGACCAACTAAAGAGGAGAAAAGGAAAATTATTTAAGTTAGACTGTAATTAGACAAAATTTAGCTCCAAAGGCTAACAAAAAAGAAAAATCCAGTTTAGTGAGTGTATCATATCCCCACTGATGGAAACTTCTGACACATGCACATACCGAACTTGTGCCTGCTAGAAACTAATGGGCACAGAAAGTATTCTTCTATCACAAAGGCAGCACAATCACCATTTGCCCTATCTACCCATTAGAAGGATCAGGAAAACCATTCAGCAAATAGGGCAGTGAAGTGCCCTCTTTAGAGGAGCAATACCACTGTAATTTATAGAAAAAACACATCCATTGTGTGAATTCACTCTTGGATCTGTTCTTCTGGGAGATTCACTAGCACTAAAGAGCCTTGAATGAAGTTTGGAGAGAGCTAATCACATCCTCTAGGACAGCTCTTTGGCAGACACCCTTTAATACTCCTCCCCTCAATTTTAGCTTAAGAAAAGACAACTAAAGCTCTAAGTATTGCTCTGATTTAATTCAAGCAAAAGAATGACTACTATTTGGAGGATGGAGTCTCCTTTTAATGGCTGATCAACCTCCTCCTTTCCTGATTTCTACATGACTTTCAATTCAAAAGCAAAAACTACAAGAAGACACTAAATTAAGAAGAAAAATCCTCCTCTGCGATTCTGTTACCCAGCAGAATCTGGCATCACTCTGAATATCCTTGCCAGAGTGGCATATGAAGCTATACCAATCAGCTCTCAGAAGAGCTCAGGTTGCATCCTGTTCAATTAAGATGAAGCAATAGTGAGATTTACTGAAGTGCTGACAAAGGGTGTATTCAAATATTTTACACTAGTATTTCTTTTGCATAGTCATCTAGAACCTATATCCATAACTGAAACAGCATAAGTTTTTATTTTCCTACATATCACTAAAAATGTTTCCATATGTCAGGTACCCAGAATACTAGTTGAAACAAGTGAATATCAATGATTATTTTAAGAATATTTCATGTTGTCATATTACACATGCTTACAGTTTATTTCAGAGCGTGTCTTTTCTTCTCTCACATTTCTACTTGTCGAATGAATTCTATGAGGTACTACAAAAGGCTAGAAGAGAAAAATAAAATACTTCAATACCAAAACACTTGAAACCCAGTATTGTGTACCTAGTTTTTGGTACCTAGTATCAGGTTTCTTTAGCACAATATCAAAAAAGAAAGAAAGAAATCAAGTGGAAGCTAAAAATAAAGATTGAATGTATGTTTTTGTGCATTAAAGTTAGTATTATTTGGAGACATTTTATCTGTAGAGTGTCTTCAACTTCAAGATAAGGGTTTTTAAAACACTGGAGTTGAGCAAATAAAGACAATGATGGCCAGCATTTGTCTTTGCTCAGATAACATTTCCTTTTTTTGCCTTTCAGATTAAAGGTATTGGTCATTTCCAAAATAAGCAGTAAGACTAAATCTGACTTACGGGCAGCATTTCCTTCGTTTAGGTAACCCAGCTTCGTTTTTCCAGCTTCTAACCTAAACCGATTCCTAAAAAGTCATCAGTTAGTTTCTTTAAGTAGATGAGAAGTTACCCTGAGGTTTTCAGAGCTGAATAGAAGGAAGTGTTCCTGGTCCTCTAGTGTTGTGTGGCGAGAGTGATGCCATCATTTCTACAAATTCACCTCCGTATTTATGTTCCACTTCCATCTTTTCCCTGGATTTCCATTTACTTCTCTACAGGATGAGGTGACATGAACTTTAAGACTTGGCTTTCTTTTCATTGCCCCTGTTGGATTTTCTCTCTTTCTATATCCACTATTGCAGGTTCTCTTAGAAACTATAATCTAAGGTTTTTTAACAAGAGTACAAGACCAGCTGACTGCTGATACAATCAGGCCCTGAAATTAGCAACATAAATCCTAACCGTGTGCTCTCAGTATGTCCTCTGCAATGAAATCTTACTCTTTAGAGAAAACAAGTTAATTCTCCATGATGTTAGCCAAGTAATCTCTGAAAAGCACGTTTGCTATGTTTCTGTGTTGAGTATGTGGCAGCAAAACAATTTTTGATTACAGCAATCTGACACAATAGCGTCAGAAATTTGATGTGCTGGCATGTTAGCTTTGCTTTTACATATACTAATTATATATAAATTAATTATAATCTTCTCTTGGTAACTTTTGACTACAACGCAATGACAGAGTTAGAGAACTTCAACTGCTGTACTATCACAAAGAGTCACGAATAGCTCAGCAACTCTGTTTATCCCCGAAATATTATCTGAAAGCATTATTTCCCTTCTCCCCTTTGCATCGCACACCACTTCCTTGCTTTATATTAGGATCCACCACATATGTACATAGTGTTTCATCTCCCATTTATGTTCACTTTAGTCTTTTTTTAAACTGGAGAGACTTACAGATTGTGGGTCTGTATTTTCTCCCACATATCCCACAGGCAGTTTTTCGTTTCTTGTAACTTATCAATCCTCCCCTTCCTCAGTTCTGCTTTGTCTACTAAACACTCTTTTGACCTTTAAAAACAGTTTGCTATAGCTCAGGATGTGTTAACAAGGTTTGATCTTCTACTTGATTTTCTGCTAAAAGGTTGTTTATTTATAGTCTTTTGTTAAGAGGCATTGCCCACTTGCACGTGATGCATGCGCATCTGTAACGCCAGCACCAGGAGCCTAATTGTAGTGGGGGTGGGAGGTATTTTTGCCTTTGCAGCGATATTGTGTGAGTTCCTTGCATCATGCCACAGATGTTTGTACTGCTCAACGGGCAGAGCCCGCCCTCACACCTCCTTCTCCATGACCACAGAATTACTGGAAGGAGTCAAATCCTCATCTCTTGGTTAGGAGGACAAAGTCCTCAAGTCACCTTGAAAGACCTAAGCTGACAACAAACCAATACAAACAGCCGACATCTGGGCTGTGCAACAGGACAAAGGAATGTAGGTTAACTTCCCAACATGAATGCCATTTGGGCACAATTTTAATCATGGTACAGATATCAAGAGCAATCTTATCCCCAAAACTTACAATGTGCTAAGGATAAAACACGAGCACTTTCCTCTTTGCGACCTTTTCAGCTAATATCGCATCTGTCATGAGAGTCACTGTCACAGAAATGTGGTGAACAGGCAGTTGCCAACACCTCCAAAGGTTTACTCTTAAGGGAGCAAAAGCAGAGTCCCAAATGGAAATCCTGTCTTTGACTGAATGGAAAACCAATTAGGTCCTCCACGAGTTGGGGTAGAGAAAAATATTCAAAATGTCAGTTAGAGATATTGCTGCCAAATGATTAACAACTGTATCAAGGGGAGACCTTTCTGATTATACCCAAATAACCTGATTGCGTGCTTTTAGTTTTGTTTTTACACATTAAACATTTCACCTTTGTCGGAGTTTAGAATGATTTAAAGATGTAGCACTGCATTCCTCAAAGAGGTAACAAATTCACATCTTAATCTCTACCTCACCCACAGAACTCTGCAGACTATCCAAGCAGTAACAGATAGCATCCCCATAAAAGCAGCATAGGCCAGGTGAAGAGCTGTCATCACATTGGGAAGTAGACTTGCCTTCAAAGACCACCAATAGCCAGAAAAGCTCCCTAGCCTCCAAAAAAACCAAAACCCACCACCAAAACCCCCAAAACACAAACACCCCCCCAAACAACCAAAACTCCAAACAAACTGGGAGCAGGTCTGAAGCTCAAGATTCTCACCAGTGTTGTTTGTACCATGTTATGTTGCTTCTTTCAATTTTTGATGGATGCATTCAGGTGATTGCCACAAGTATAGGAGTGGTCATGTAGCATGGTTACATGGGAAAGCTACTGAATCTTGTAAATAATTAATTAAAATAATATGGGAATTGTTATAATATAACATATTGATAAATTGATTCTTAGAACAAGAAAGGAATGGATGGTCATGAACCAGTAGGCATGAACTTGAGATAAATGAAGTGTCTTTCAAACTGTAAAAATTGTGCCAAGTTCCTCAAAGATCATGTCCTAAGTTAACCTATCCTAATTATAATATGAAAACCACACCTCCACTGCTGAAATCTCCCCTTACCACATTAATTCCCTTACCCACTGAACATGCGTAGTTAATGTTGAGAATGACAAAGCAAAATGGTAATAAGAAAATTATAATAACCAATCTGTTTGCAGAATGGGCAGTAGTTAGCTGATTTTAAGATATAAATAAGAACTTGTTTTGTATTTTGGTGTGTTAGCTTTGTGGAGTCACCACCTAGCACACCGAGTAATAAACGCTGTTTGAGGGACAACAGTCAACCCCTAAATTCAGATTAAAACCTCCAGCTAGCTCTGTGAGCAGGCAGGTATTGGAGCAAGTTCAACCGCCTATAAAAGGAACATGTACACTTCTTATTCCCTTTGGTTTATTATAGGAAAGACCACAACGCCAACAACTGCTTTGCCTGTGGCAGGATTCTTCATCTGAAATACAGACCTTGCTCAAGATACATCGGATAATTCATTATCACCTGCTTTATTCACAGAGGTGGTTCTAGGCTTGCTTATTACAAAATAAAATGTTTTCCCAACTGTCACTATCAATCTTATTTTGCAGGTGGATTAAATGCCTCAGTGGAAAATTATCTGGCAACATGGTTAGGGGAGAAATGAGAAGAGACATCTAAATTGTCTATCCAATGAAAATGATCCAGCACCACAGGTAATGGTGTTTGAAGCTCACTGGAGAGCTCAAGGCCATGTGATGAACAATGATGGAGAAGTACCATTATGCCTAGCACAGAAGCCCATGAATGCAGCAGGAAACCCTCAGCAACATAAGATAAACAACAAATGAACTAATATCTGAAAAAATGCGTATCAAAAGACATGCAAGCAGCTTGCTTGTCCTCCATACTGTCAGCCAGTCTAGCTCCTTTATAAATGATGAAAATATGCATTTTCTTTGATCACTGCTGAGAGGTTGTTTTCTCTTCATCTTTTCCCCAGACAAGACATAGCTTTCTCCCCCGATACCACACTTCATTATGGGATAACTGATAAGTAATACACTAGACAACAGAAGAGCCTTCTTAAAGCTAAGTCAGAAGGGACATAAAAGTGAACACTATTTTGAAAGCTACAATTAACTGTCAGTAAAGTTTGTACTGAAGTGACTCCATACAGGAAGAGAAAAGATATTCTCCACCTGAGTGGCCCAAAATGAAGGTCAAGAGTCTTACCGAAAAGATATACTAGTGACATGGGGGAATGGCACATCAGGGTTTCAGTACAATTTCCAGGAAACCAGGGAAGACTTGCAGGGCAAGCTACTCTGATCTGAGCAGCTCACTCACAGGAAACACACTGAAAACAGCTACCTTTCTTCTTATGACAGCTCATGAAAGCTTCGATTTTCTGGTTTCTACAGAAATATCGCTTTAACGGGCCTCAGAGCTCTCTATCATTACTGAACAGGCAGAGAACTAAAGGACACCTGATCCTTAGAGCTCATGGTGAGTAGAAGATCCGAGTTCCCCAGTGCTGTTCTCACAGTGCTCTCAGGAATCAGACACCCTTCTCCTAACATTGACATGAAAGACAACCGCATTAAGGGTTTTCTTGTGTGTTTAACTTCCCTAAATATTTTTTTTAACAGAAAAATTTACTAAGTGTGCTCCACCATTTGCAATTGTTTTTAAAAGTACTGACTATTCAATCCTTATGACTTCCTCTCGTTTCCTTCCATTTAGGAAATATGTAAACATTGCACTCTACAATACAAAAGAGATTTATTTCACTTTGGCTTCTTTCCACATTTATTTATTTCAACTTCTAAGGAAGATAGACTTGGTGCATGTCAACTTGTCTTTGCTGTTCCAGAAGGTAAAAGCTCATTTAAACTTGTAAAATCTGAAAATTAGTACCTTAAAGTAGTTGCTTCTTTTAAACTTATTTTCCTTTGAAGGCATTTGTAGAATAGTTTATCCATAAAAAAACGTAAAACACAAGTATGCAATTAATGAATCAATGGCATTTGTGTCGAAAGGATAATTTCTTTTCCCCCCAGAAGAGATCACCAGTTAGGGAACTGTAAACATTTGGAAAGTCTTCACTAACATACAGTTAAGTATGAAGACAGGATGCAGTAACAGAGTATCTGTTTTCTCTTATTTACGAAACACTTCAGTCCTCCGCTGTTTATCATCTTACATAAGCATCCTATTTTTTCCCAGCTGTTAAAGCAGAAAATCAGAAACTTTGCCTTTGACAAAACCGTAAGTGAAATCAAGTTTCAGAGCATTCCAAGATAGAAAATATAATCTGCAAGAAACACATAGCAAATCATTTGACAAAAACAACCACAGGATCATTCTCTTCTTCTCATAAGTAAGTAAATTAGGAACAAAAGAACAAGTTCTACAGAGGCATAAAATGATTTTCATGAATGCTTTCTTTGCAGATGAATGGAAACATAATTTCACAAAGAAACAGAAAGCAGAACGCATGACAGAACTCAGGACTGGAGAAGTAGTCCACACTTACTGTTGCAAAATTGTTGAAGGACAACAATAAACAAATTTTAAAGTGTTTACATCTCTTCCTCTTTGAGCTTCTCTCCCCCAAATATAATGAATTTTGGTAAGTGCCTGTACATGTGTCAGAGCAGCACAATCAAAAGTAAAAGCAACCCTTGAGACTATTCCCAGATCACAAAACATTCTGTGTCTCAATAAATCATAATCATTTAGTTTTGTTGGCAAACGAAAACTTAATCTGATTCTATGATTAAAACACATTCCTACCTCAGGATCATCATCATCAAAATCATGGTAAGTGGAATGATCAGGATTATTCATTTTATCCAAAAGTTCAATAGCAAGACTTCGATTTAATGGCTGGGTAACAAAAGGATGCTGAAAGACAGAAGGAAAAACATGTATTAAAATTCCAACCACTCATATTAAGCATATTTTAATTTTATAACTTAAAAAAAATCCCATACATAAATTTATACCTGTAGTAACTTTTCAGCTGTAGGTCTTTTTTTAGGATTTTTTGTAAGTGCCATTTTCACAAAATGATGGAAACTATTGGACCTGTAAAATGAAGCAGTAAACATTAGAATCAATTGCTCAGTGAAATACATGATCATTGTCTACTGAAACAGAGAAGTACTTACCACTTCATTTTGTCCTTTAATTTAGGAGGCTGGAAGTTGCTTTTTGTCATCAGAAAAAGTGCTCTGGAAAAAACCAATATAAATACAACAACGTATTTCTGTGGCTTACATTGCAATACATACATTAGACGAATTATTAAACACATTATTTAGTAGGCAGGAAGAAGTCCATCAGTTTGAGAGATACTACCAGGACAACATTACACATTTATGCACCAAAAAAAGTTGTTACAATTTTTATCATGTACATTCAGAACACTTACAACCCCACTTACAACTTACACTTGCAGTACCCCCAAACACCATAAGCACACATAGCCACTACTCCAAATGGGTTATTTAGGAAGCTGTATTTACACACCAAGTTTTAACCACTTACTAACCTCATTGGATGTAGGTCAAACATTGGAGGCTGAAGTTCAGCAAGCTCTATAGCAGTTATTCCAACTGCCCACAGATCACAGAGTTGATTATAGCCACCTTTTCTTTCTACTGCAGCAACTTCTGGCGCCATCCTAAAGGGTAAAAGACATTTTTAGATAATCTTCTCACAACAAATCAAACATTCTTCTGCACACAGCAGTTTACTATTCTTTTCCCTAAAGCTCTCAATCTATAAGCTCACATATACATGTGGATATATATACACGTGTGTGTGTGTAAAAAGTTATGTAATGTATACATGAAGTCTTCCTCAATCATCTTCTAGTAACTAATACACAGTTTCCAGAACAGCTATTTAGCACTAAGTGAATGAAACCAATCTGTCCCACTTTTTTGCAGGCACACAACGAACTACCACTCAACAACAAAAGAGCCTAAGGTATAATTATTTAACTATAGTAAAATCCAAATAATATCCAGATTCACACATTGCCCCAGCAAGTGATCAACTGATTTTGAAGAGAGGAATTCTAACAAAAAAAAAAAAAAAGGTAACAAAATGTCAGCTTTCTTGTATCCTGAAAGCATGAGATCTGAAGACTCACTCTCACTTCTGCACAGAGCACTCCTCGTTTGTAAAGTCTGCCTCACTGTAATGTCAGAAGACCTCATTTAAGTTAACAAAGTAGTTTCACATCCTCAGGTGGCAAAAATTAACAAACATAACTGACACATAAATAGGAATACCTAAAGAAAATTATCCACTAGGCATTGTCACGTTTTGAACAGCCAAAGTGAATTATGGACTTGATTGTCCTGCATAGTAATATCTGATGGCAAACACGTTAATATTTTTTAGCTTTGAACTTTATTAGTCCAGATCACTTGAAAAGTAGCCGTGGAACTGGAGATATAACTCAATGTAGGTAAGACAGATGAATGTCACTTAATGAGTGCTCCAGTAAAGCAGCAGGCAGCATCTCAAATGATGCATTATTTATACACAGGCATCCTTATCTGTAGATCTGAAAACATCAGGTTTGGTGGTACAACTTATTTCAAGTTTGCATAGCTAAACTATATTTACATAAATTTCTTCGAGACTTCATAAAAAAAACCCCAATCACTGTAAATCAAAAAGGAGGGAGCTACCAAGATAGAGGGGGTTAACTTTAGAAAGAGATGGAGGAGGAGCACAAGGGTAAATAGCAGGGCTACTAGAACTAAAGACAGCAGTTTTGCCCTTCGTTTCTCTTCCATCCAAGCACCGTAGCTTTACCAGCCCAGACACCTCTAATGATCACTAAAACCTTCACACTGCCTGTTTCCAACTAAATTTTGTTCTCCACGATCTCAACAATTTTGCTTCCTTGCTTCTCTCAAATCTCTGAAAAGCTTTGCAAAGAAAAACTGATGCTTTTTATCAGCATTTAACCTATGTAATGCTTTAAAAGTTATTTAAGGTTATGCCACGTCATTTGAGAAGCCTGGCACAATTTGGAAGTTAAATAGTGATACAGGCCAGGACTAAAGTCACCCAGACATCTTAGGAAAGAGAGGCACAAACCAATTATACAATCACGACTGACAGGTGTTTGTGTTATTCTGAAAGGGAAGTGAATCCATGCCTTGGTGTAACTTACACTGCAGAAGAATGCTAAAAATGCTGTGCTTGACTATTTCTAGACTGAATACTTTAATGTAGGGTTTTTTCGTTATATATATTTTCATCTTGTACATACTATGCTGTCAGAAAACAGAATTTTGAATATCCTTCTGGGAAACGTATAACAAAAGTGCTATTTTATAGTGAAGAATGTGTCATTTACTTCAAGGCAAAAGGGAACAACCATTTCCAGTACAAAGAGGAGAAAATAAAATGCTGAACTTTAGAAAAGATAAATTATGCAAACTAGTTTACTGAGGGAAGAATAAAGATGCACTACAGAGAGAATAGAAATGTACGTTTGAATTCAATCAATTTAGGCAAATAAGGGGGAAAAAGAGAAAAGAAAATGGCTTAGAGGAAACATTTCACAAGTGGCAAAAGAATCTGTGGAGACAAACAAATGAAACTCATTATCAACTGAAGAGTTAAAGAAAAGACGTATTTAGGGTGGAGGGGAAGAAACATAAAACACCAAAATGAAAAATCAGGGAAGAAAAAACATAATTTAACATCAGAGTTAAAACCAAGCAAAATTGTTTATAGTTTTTAAGTTTTACTAAATAGAGATACATTAGTCAACACTGATGGTAGCACACAGACAGCCTTTCAATTTTTCAGAGCACTAGAGCATTTCCTCTGATACTCGGCTAATTCAGGATTTAGCGTAAGTAATACAGGTATGATCACTAAAAAGTCTGACACAGCCTTTAGTGATTAGTCTACCCAGAAAGTGACATAGCATGCTTTTAGCACAATTTTTCAACAGTATTGTATATATTACTATTATATTAATGGCCAAGTAAAACACAGTTACCAATATGGGGTGCCAATGAATGATTTCCTTTTGGCAATTGTAGCTGTTATCTGTGCAGATACTCCAAAATCAGCTATTAAAAAAAGCAAAAACAAAACAACAGTTAATAACTGATTTGATGTAATTAATTATTAATGAACACAAGTTTATTATCCCCACTGTAAGAGTTTCTTAAACATACCGGAAATATTTAACAAAAAATAAATAACAAAAGCAAATAATGGAAACTTGGCGTATCTCAGATACTGTTGGTCAGCTCCTCTCAGTCGCCTGCCAAATATGCAGGCTGCATGCAAACATGCCCCTCATCAACACAAGAAAGAACAGGTTAGCGCAGAAGTCCTAACAGCTACATGTAGTGTTTTAATATGATAAAATACATACTTTAGTGTTATCCAAGAGATTCTTTCAGATAACCTTTCAAGGTACGTTTCACACTTAAGCACTCTGGATGGTACATTTTATTAAAAGTTCATAAAAACCTGTGATTTGATTTTTACCTCCCCCTTACACCATCAGAAAGTCTTTTACCTCAGTGTTCCAAAATTACTTCAATTACTCCTCAGACACTAATTGGATGGTGCAGTTAGACATTACCAGCAAGAGAAAAAAAATTCTGATATTCACTAATTCCTTACATGAACCATTACATCATTAAAAAAAAATACAGAAGACTGCTTCTCAGAGCACATAAAAAATCTGTTAATAATACTAAATTGTATTAACTCACCTAATTTTACATGTCCATTGTCCGTTAAAAGAATGTTTGCGCCCTTAAAAAAAAGTAAGTATAATTGAATTAAAACACGCAGATTCCTCCGATATTATATTTTAAAAAATTATGTGAGATCTTATGGCAAACTAGGGGCCAAAGACAAACAAAGGATTGTGTGTTCAAGAAATCTGCAGCCTTACCGAGGAAATGTTTGTGAAATTAGCAAGTTGCTATTCTGTTACAGAAAGAAACTTGAATATACAGGGTTTCTCATTAATTTTTAGTTTAGTACTCTTTAGCCTATGGTACTACAGAGTTTTCATTGTACACAAAACCCTCTCAAAAAGCAGAATATGATGACTTGCCTATGCTGATGAATTCTTACTTTACACTGACTGAAAGGAAATAGGAACTCTAAAGGTCAAAGCGGAAGTAATTTGATTTTCTTTTCATATGTAGGAGCTGGTTTTGTCTTGTTTGAAAGCCATGATAATTATAATTATAGCCTCAAGGACCTGCCTTGATAATCAAGTGTTTAGCAAAACTATTTCTCTCCTTATGCAACAGAGATTCTGTTAGTGCTAGATTTGAAGAGTTCATTGTTCTGTGGCTATATGTAACACTCACTTCAGTTCAATAATCAAAACTAACCTGAAGCAGTAGTTGGTACCATAACGACATAAAAGGACTGAGAACAAACCTGATCTGAAGACTGAAACCAGGTACAGGTTGAGTTGAGCAAAGGCTGGAGCTGGCTAAACACAGCTCCAAATGTCAGCACTGCCCATAAACTAGATGGAAAGGCAGCACAGATAGGCCTCCAAAAAATTATGTTTTTACAGACCATGGCTTTTCACAGAGAAGGAAAAGTCACGCCTGCAGTAAAATGCAGCTTACTTTGGCAAATATTACAGTAGTATAGTTAATGAGCCTTATAAATGGAGCTTGGTAAATAGTGTGACAGTCTAGTTAACATGCTCTTGACCTTGTTCACCTTTCAAGACTAACAGGACAGATACTCTAAATACATAACTTAGCTACTGAGGAAAGCAAACATAATTCAACAGTCAGGAGATCTGCAGATGAAGATAGTATTTTTCCATGCTCATGAGAACAGCTTTTTTTAAAAAAAAAAAAAATTCTCAACGTAAGCACTGTAAGCATTTTTATCAGCACAATTCTGCTTCGAAACAAGTATCCATGCACTGTATCCTTAAAAGCATCATTTTGCATTCTACAAAGTATAATGAAAAATGCTTAATTTTGTGTCCAAAGTAATAATCTTTCGTTCAGAAATTATTTTCATGATTGCTCAAAACCCAAATACCCTTCTGCAGTCAATGAGAACAAATTAGAATCAGGCTGCACTAAGACATCTACAGTTGAAGATACTATGTACACTGCAAGCCTAGTCTGAAAAAAACCAAACCAAACAAACAAAACCAACCCCCCACACACAACACAAAGGAATATGATAATTTACTGTCAGATTTCCAGGAGGAAGTCTGCCAAGTTTAAGTTGCAGTCTGAGCAAGGAAGAACTTGGAAAGGCAAAGAGTAGGTAGTAAAACTCCAGGGACAAAAAGTCAACAGGAAGCACCAGACGGAAACTATAACAGAGTGTAAAAGTCTGAACAAGCCACGTTTGATACAGCTTTGAGATGAAGGTTTAAATAAGCCTGATTTGCGGTACCCTCTCTAATTTTAGCATGTGAGGGAGGGGACAGAAGTAGTCTCCAAGAACAACACAGAACAGCAGCCACTGCCCTGCAATCTGCTCACCAAGAAAAGAAGCAAGAAGCCAAAGCAACAGCTCTGCTAACTAGCTGGTTCAAAGAGAAGGGTACATCGAGCTTCTTAGAAAGATGTGGGAAAGACCAAACCTTTCCTTTTGCACAGAGCACATCCTTACAGCCACCTGAACACACGTTGCTCTGGACACTAGCTGATGCCTACATTTTACAGCACTGGTTTAAATAAATAGTATGTTTGGCTCCAATTAAAAGAACAAACTATTTCCATGCATGCATTTTAAAGAAAGATTTTTTTTCTTCCTTTGGGCAGACAATTTTTTTTTATTCTAATAGATAGAAAAACCCTGCATATTTAAAAATATCCCCCAAATTGATACATAACAGTAAAGACCCATCAGAGGTGATGCAGCCTAATTTAGAAACATGAAAATTCCCTTCAGTTTTTACTTACCTTTATATCTCTGTGCATTTTTCCTTTACTGTGAAGATAATATAGTCCCTGCATAAAATATTTAGATAATAATTTAGTCCAATATTTTTCATTTTTTATACATTTCTTATTTAATTACCAGACATATTTAGGATCCAATTCAATGATCTAAACGACTCACTGACTGAAGAACATTATTCTATTTCAGCGTATCCAAACTGCATTTGCAAATTCAATACATGTAGTGGCATTAATATCTAAAACACAGGATAGATGGAAAGAATACCAGTCACCGCATCTAAGCATTCCCCAACCAAGTATTCCTCTGGACATGGTAACTGCCACCTTTTTAGACCAAGTTAATTACTTTCAAATTAACTGCCTAACAGTCTTCTACTCAGCAGTCAGATCACTGAACACCTAGTGCAGTTATCTCCTATATCATTCCACACTTCAATTAAGTTTAGAAGCATGTTAGCAGGCAGCGCTTTGGGTCTAACACAGGAGTTCAACTCTAATTCATGGATTTCTGCGGAAACGTTAGGCTGTCCTTCTGGGTCTCGATGACAGTACCAAAGCATTTTAGGACTCAACATGAGTCAGAAAATTTAGGTTTAAATTCTGGAAGAATTCTATGAAACCAAATCCCTGCATGACAAATCACAGAGCACATCGCTTTTGACACTCCACACTTATCTCTAAAATTCTCTTCCAGGGGTAAAATGACATGTAAACATCTTCCTCGCTCTGCGTTCATGAACCTCCATAAAGACTACATTCTCATGGGAGATACCCATGTCAACACAGAATTTTTTTTGCTAGCTCATGCAAGACATCACAGAGTTGACTGCAAAAATGAATTAGGATTGTTTTCAATCATCAGCATTTTCATGGATGGGCCTAAATATACCAACAGGAAAAATGAGGAAACAGCTATTTACATGACTTGGTACTTGAGATTTTCAAGTGAACAACATTGTACAGATAGACCACAGTACCACTAAAGATACAGTTTTGGGGTATTTTTTTGTCAGTTCATGAAAACCTGAATGTGATGTAGCTGAAGTGCTAATCAGTTATGACATTCAACTCCTTAAATAAACTGGAAAAAAACCCAACCCCACTCTCAGATGTTTTAAGCTGTTTCTCTGGGGGAAATGACTAACAATACCCAGTTGGTCCAATGGTTTTTCAGAGTCCTCACTGCAGGCATGCATGCAGACCCAAAAATCGGACTTGATTTGCTTTTGGTACAGAGTGTAATTAATCAAAGCATCTACCTGACCGTTGCAACAACTGGCATTAGCTAGAAGAGTCCCACGTACACTCCTTGCATTTAAATCTCTGGATGCTACAGGCACAGAAAGCCCAACAACTCACTTATTTTTACCACTGCCCTGGAAGAATTTGAGGTCACCACTTTCAAAACTGAATGCCTGGAGGCAGGTACTTCAAAGGCCGTATTGATTGACAGCCAGCTGAACATGAGCCAGCAGTGTGCCCAGGTGGTCAAGAAGGCCAATGGCATCCTGGACTTTATCAGAAATAGCGTGGCCAGCAGAAGTAAGGAGGTGATCGTGCCCCTGTGCTCGGCACTGGTCAGGCCGCACCTCGAATACTGTGTTCAGTTTTGGGCCCCTCACTACAAGAAGGACATTGACGTGCTGGAGCGTGTCAAGAGAAGGGCAACGAAGCTGGTAAAGGGCCTGGAGCACAAGCCTTATGAGGAGCGGCTGAGGGAACTGGCGTTGTTTAGCCTGGAGAAGAGGAGGCTGAGGGGAGACCTCATCGCGCTCTACAACTACCTGAAAGGAGGTTGTAGCGAGGCGGCTGTCGGTCTCTTCTGCCAAGTAACTAGCAAGAAGACGAGAGGAAACGGCCTCAAGTTGCGCCAAGGGAGGATTAGATTGGACATTAGGAAAAATTTCTTTACTGAAAGAGTGGTCAGGCCTTGGAACAGGCTGCCCCTGCAAGTGGTTGAGTCACCAACCCTGCAAATATTTAAAAGACGTGTAGATGAGGCGCTTAGGGACACGGTTTAGTGGGCATGGGAGTGTTGGGTTGACAGTTGGACTCGAGGATCTTAGAGGTCTTTTCCAACCTTAATGATTCTATGATTCTATGATTCTAAAGGACTTCTATTTTCAGAATCAGTCTCACTGATTCCAACTAGAACTGATAGCGAATGTTTTTTGAAAACAGACCATTTAATGAGCTTCTAAATCTGGAGATTGAATGCTAAACTTTAGGCATTCAAGTAAAACTCTGGATTCATGGAAACTGATGGCAAAATTAACATCGGACAAATTACTTTTATGGATGGACAGATGGCCTATATTCTCAGACTGTTTACTAGGAAAAGTGACTGCTGCATTATAAGCTACAACAAGATATCAGAAACTATATACATTGTATTTGGTCAGAGTGTTATAAACATGTATTTACAGACAACTTAAAATATACAAAAATGGGTCCATGGATGACAGAAAATACATACAAAGTAGCAAGTTTCCTTCTCACAAGCAATTTGCACGTATTAACCAAGAAATCTTCCCACACAATAAATCATGATTTCATAAATTTCATTCTAGACTATTGCAACACTCCTCCATACTCGGATGGACGGACTATTCGGTGGATAAAGAATTGGCTGCATGGTCGTATCCAGAGCGTAGTGGTCAACGGCTCAATGTCCAGATGAAGATCAGTGACAAGTGGTGTCCCTCAGGGGTCCATATCGGCATCAGTATCATTTAACATCTTTGTTGGGGATCAAGTGCACTCTCAGCAAATTTGCAGATGACACCAAGCTCAGTGGTGCAGTCAACACACCTGAGGGACGGGATGCTATTCAGAGGGACGTGATGCTATTCAGAGGGACGTGGACAAGCTCGAGAAGTGGGCCCATGTAAACCTCACAAGGCCAAGTACAAGGTCCTGCACCTGGGTTGGGGCAACCCCCGGTATCAATACAGGCTGGGGGATGAAGGGATTGAGAGCAGCCCTGTGGAGAAGGACATGGGGTACTGGTGGATGAAAAGCTGGACGTGATGTGCGCTCGCAGCCGGTAATGTGCGTTCGCAGCCTAGAAAGCCAACCATATCCTGGGCTGCATCAAAATAAGCATGGCCAGAAAGTTGAGGGAGGTGATTCACGGAAGTGATCAGAGGGATGGAACACCTCTCCTATGAAGAAAGGCTGAGAGAGTTGGGGTTGTTTAGTCTGGAGAAGAGAAGGCTCCAGGGAGACCTTATTGTGGCCTTTCAGCACTTAAAGGGGGCTTATAAGAAAGATGGGGACAGACTTTTTAGCAGGGCCTCTTGCGATAGGACAAGGGGTAATGGTTTTAAACTGAAAGAGGGTAGATTCAGACTAGATATAAGAATGAAATTTTTTACGATGAGGGTGGTGAAACACTAGAACAGGTTGCCCAGAGAGGTTGTAGATGCCCTGTCCCTGACCCAAGGTCAGGCTGGACGAGGCTCTGAGCAACCTGATCTAGTTGAAGATGCTAACTGCAGGCAGGCTTGGACTAGATGACCTTTAAAGGTCCCTTCCAACCCAAACCATTCTATGATTCTATAAGAACAAAATGGTTTAAGGTTCAAAAACCAAAACACTCCCAGATGTCACATAAGACTTAACTGTAAGGAAAAAAAAAAAGCCACGTCCTGTAAGTCAGAAGCCTTTGGCATAGCACAGGGAGATGGTAAGTTGAATGCAAGGGAGCTGGCGCGGGGACAGAGCTATCTTGAGAGAGTGTTTGAGAATGATGGCATTCAACAGATTTGCATTCACTAGAAGCCAAGAACTACCCTCTCACATGGAAGCAAGACATCCACCAAAAAAGCCATTTCTGATTAAGTTTTACTGGTGAACTGAACCTTTAATTTAGGAAAGAAAAATGAAAGCTAGCATACCCATGAGGAGAGACTGGTGACCTTAACTTGAACATCTCAAGTACAAAGACAATATTTTTTCCTTATTGGCACAGATCAACTATCAGATATGCAAAACTGAGTCTTTAAATTTTCCTTCAAACTTGCAACAACTAATTTGTACCACAAATATGGGTCAATAAATATGCTACTTCCCCCCTTTAAAAAAAAAAAAAAAGAAAAATTAACAGCACAAAGATGGCAACAGTTTTCTTCAAATGATCCAGGATAATTTGAGGTTATGCAATTATACAAATCAGTTCTAGGCTATAATACAGGACCTCCTCAAAAGTCTGAGAAAAAAGCTAAGCCATCCAAACGCTGTACTTCCATGGCATCACACATATTTGTAGCTTTTATTTTTAGGTTTTAATACTTTTACATTAAAGGTCAACCACAAGAACCTGAGAACACACTACCTGTAGTGTTTCTCTGCTAACATAGGCAATCTGCTGTTCTGAAAGTGGTCCAGTCACTGAAATGGAAGGGAAGAAAAAGTCATTCTCAAAATCAGGTAAGATACTGCCCATTCCAAACCCATACCTCAACGACTTACATTCACACTGATAGGATCTTACACTAGAAATCTCAAAGTAAATGTGATTAGACTTTCCTCCAGATTGAGCATCCCAAAGACCACCAAACATTTTTTAAATTCAAAAATGTCTAGTCCCATGGGAATAGAAACTACTAACTCCCTCCATATATAAATCTCAAAGTAAATAAGAGAAAAAAGAAACAGAAGCAGCGATTTAAGCACAACTCTAATTGTGTCCTTCTATGCAGGGCTGGACTTCCAATCCAGTGACTAAGAGCTGTAGCAAACTCCACTCCGTCCCCTTTGAGCCCTAGGAAGTTCCTTCTACCCTTTGCGACCTGCTCTCTCCTTCCGTCCTTCGCGCTGCCATGTGACCTGCTCTCTCTTCCCTGCAGCCATGCGACCTGCTCTCTGCAGCTTCTCAACTCTTTTCTGCGTGAGCTACTAGCACTGTTGCTCCTGAGCCTGCCACACCATGCACCTTCTCAAACTCTCCCTCTGAGTAGGGTCAGCAGCTTCCCAAGGGAAGGAGTCGTCTTCCTCTCTCTCCAGGGTCCCACTTCTCTCAAGTCTCTTAAAGGAGAACAATTAAATTCTGAACAAATACGTAAACCAAACACTGAACAGCAAGCAAGGCATGGCCTGTGACTTGTCCCCAGTCACTGGACTTTGATCCTGAAATTAAAGGGTTTTAAGACCAGGAAATGCAGTCCTCACTGCAAGCTTCTCAGGTTTTGCAGAGAAAACAAATAGAAAACTTGGATGGGGTTTCTCAAAGGAAACTGAAGGAGGAGTAGGGAGTAAAAAATGAAACAAGATTTAAGCACCTAACTGCTTAGTTTCTACAAAACCCACAACCATAGTATAAATAAGTATCATGCAATATGTATCTTCAAAACAGGCTCTTTTTCTGAAAGAAAAGCTCCAAACCCACATAAAACTAAATACATTAGCACCCAGAGTACATATTTCTAGGCATATATGTTTGTTTTGAGAAATTTAGTTCTGATTAACTTAAATGACTTAAGATTACAGAGGCCTATAGTTCAACTGGAATAAGACCCTTTGGAACGTAATTAAGAACAGAAAAGAAACTTCCACTCTAACTACCAGCAGAGAAGCCAAAAATCAGCTGCAAACCGCTCCTGTACAACATCTGTTCAGGCATTTATGTGGCATGAGCTCACTTCCTACTCTACAGGTATTCCACATAACAAAGCCTACTAGACGCTTTTATCAACACAAGCAAAGTGTAAAGGATCAACAAGACCATGCTCAAATGACTACGCCATAAGCATGGTGTGAACTTGTGAATTGGTGCCTTGTTTTAATTGCACCCAAGTTAAACATAAAAAGGTATACAAGCTGTTTATGCGCAAGAGAAGGATGTGAAGATTCTAACATGGAAAATCTTCACAATTTAGAATATGGACAGACTTTCCATCTGAAAAACATCACCCGAGAACCACAGAGCCACTACTCACTTACAGCATACTCTTTTCCTAAGCAAGTTTAATTCCAGGGCAATAAAATCCCTCAAATTGTCGTCTCTTAAAAACTAGCAATCAGTTGACTGATCCTCTCTTTATGCAATAGATTCACACACGCTCCTTGTTTCTTTGACCACTCATTGCACCTAAGCCTAAAGCAAATATATAGGCCACCTTTGCTTTTCACATGTCATACATCCAGCTTAAAAAAAAAAAAAAAAAAAAAAAAAAAAGACCCTTATAGCACTACTGCTATACAAACATACAAAAGATCACTGTTTACAAAGGACAGGAGCATCCATACTAATCAATCCACTTATCTAGGTATCTGTAGGCAGGGGTATAGATTATACTAAAGCAAAGTTCAAAAGCTCAGAAACAAAATGGCTATGAAGTAAGACAGCATATCAGGATATAAATTTTTTATTTTTACAATACAACATTGTCTCATTTTACAGCCTTTGAAAAGTAGTGATGGGTATATGAGCTACTGAAGGAAGGAAATAACTTCTGCTGCTCAAAAAAACACCACTATAGCAAATGTTGTTTAAAAAAAAACAAATCCGAACAAATATGTAAATACATAAGCTAAAATTAACGTTCAATGGATTATTATGGATACTAAATTTAGGATTCCTCCTCTCAGTGTTTAGAATTCCAAAACACTGTAATCATCTCCATTTTTGAAAATAAGCTTTACTTAGATTTTAAGGAATTACAGTCTTGACATACCATGATAAATATCCTGTAGAGAGCCACCTCCACAAAACTCCATGCAAATCCATAGCTTGTCTCGTCTAAAAAGTGAACAAAACCATTCATTAGCTGTCAGATTTGAAAAAAGCACCTATAAAAGGTAAGTCAGAGGACTCAAACATTATAAAGCACAACGTAACAAGCTCTGTATTACGAAAAGTACAAGTCAAATAATAGATATGATTTAATCTCTATGTCAAAATAATAACTAATGAAATACCCAAAATATTCCAGGGTTTATTGGAGTAATAGAAACAGTATTAGTGAAACGTGCACACTGATTTTTTGTTCAAGATCTACTAGGAAAATGAAATCTATTTTTACTGAGAGTAGAGAGAAAGCAGATGCGAGTTCTTATTTCTTCCTCATTTTCAGCTCTCCTCCACTTTTTTCAGAGCAGATGAATTAACACAAACAAACAAACGAACGAAGAAACAAACCCAAACCAAAAATCCCTAGGGATATCTCTCAACTCAATTTCTTTCACAACAAATGGAGTGAACCTCTAGTGCTTTAGTCAAAGCTAGGCAGAGTGGAGCCCATGCTATGGATAAGTGCCTTCTCAGATGAAGCCTTTTTCCTCAAAAAAACCTATAGATATTTTTGGTGGCAGGGGTCAGAGGGCAGTTCTTCAGATTCTTCTTACTAAGGGAATCAATTCAGTTTGACTCACTATAACTCCATAAAAGGTGCTTTCCAAGAACAGACAACAGGCTGAAGGATTCAAAGCTATCTTCTATTATGGACACTAAATTTTATTTTCACTTAGTAGTTGTCATTGGTAAAACAGATGTACCACATGCAGCTGCAGAAAGACATTTTGGAGAGCAGAAAATCTGGGACTTGCCTAGTCATTCAAAACACGCAGGAAAGAAAAATCACATACAACCACCTTAGGGCAGACTGGGACACAGAACAACCAAAGGAAAGACTGATGATTGTTCAGCTTTCCCATGACCCCTGGTCTTGGGTTTCTTGCATTCATAAGGCTCTGTTAAAATAACTGAGACACTCCTGTGGGCAATGCCAACATTTGTGGAAGTGTTTTGCGAGGCAACAGTGTAAGTGCTGAGCTTATCCCCTGAGATGCAAATTGCAAGCATTTCTCACCAGCAGGTAACAGCTAGAATAGCTGCTGTTCCAAGGAAGAACTGTCTTTCTTGGATCTCCTCCTCTTTTATGTCCATAGTCCAAATGGTCCTCAAAGCTATGCCCCAGCTGCTTCCTCTAGTGGTGGGAAAGGTATTGTTCAGGCATTATAGAGGTTTTAAGCAATGGAAGTCCCTGGCTGTTAACTCCACACATTTCTAGGGATTAATTAAAGCATTGCTTGAAATAATATGAAGGCTTTCCACTGAAATAACTGATCAAAGTCAGACACAGAAGCAATGTGACTACCTGTGAAAGAAAACAGAATTAGCAACGGCAGCAGGGGATCATAGAATCATAGAATAGTTTGGGTTGGAAGGGACCTTTGAAGCTCATCTAGGCCAATCCCCCTGCCATGGGGCAGGGACATCTTTAACCAGATCAGGTTGCTCAGAGCCCCATCCAACCTGACCTTGAATGTTTCCAGGGATAGGACATTTACCACCTCTCTGGACAACTTGTTCCAGCGTTTCACCATCTTCACTGTAAAAAATTTCTTCCTTATATCTAGTCTAAACCTACCCTTTTTAGTTTAAAACCATTACCCTTTGTCCTGTCGCAAGAGGCCCTGCTAAAAAGTTTGTCCCCATCTTTCTTATGAGCCACCTTTAAGTACTGAAAGGCCGCAATAAGGTCTCCCCGAAGCCTTCTCTTCTCCAGGCTGAATAACCCCAACTCTCTCAGCCTTTTTTCATAGGAGAGGTGTTCCATCCCCCTGATCATTTTTGTGGCCCTCCTCTGAACCCGCTCCAACAGGTCCATGTCTTTCTTGTGTTGAGGGCTCCAGAGCTGGACGCAGTACTCCAGGTGGGGTCTCACCAGAATGGAGTAGAGGGGCAGAATCACCTCCCTCGACCTGCTGGCCACGCTTCTTTTGATGCAGCCCAGGATACAGTTGGCTTTCTGGGCTGCGAACACACATTGCTGGCTCATGTCCAGCTTTTCATCCACCAATACCCCCAAGTCCTTCTCTGCAGGGCTGCTCTCATCCCCTTCATCCCCCAGCCTGGTTTGACACCGGGGGTTGCCCCAACCCAGGTGCAGGACCTTGCACTTGGCCTTGTTGAACCTCATGACGTTTACATGGGCCACTTCTCGAGCTTGTCCAGGTCCCTCTGAATGGCATCCCGTCCCTCAGGCGTGTTGACCGCACCACTGAGCTTGGTGTCATCTGCAAACTTGCTGAGCGTGCACTTGATCCCACTATGTCATTGATGAACATATTAAACAGTACCTGTCCGAATACTGACCCCTGAGGGACACCACTCATCACTGACCTCCATCTGGACACTGAGCCATTGACCACTACCCTCTGGGTGCATCCATCCAACCAACTCCTTACCCACCGGACAGTCCACCCATCAAATCCATACCTCTCCAGTTTAGAAAGAAGGATGTTGTGGGGGACTGCGTCAAAGGCCTTAGGAGGTCCAAATAGACAACATCTGTAGCCCTTCCCATGTTCACTGATGTAGTGACTCCATCATAGAAGGCCACTAGGTTGGTCAGGCAGGACTTGCCTTTGGTGAAGCCGTGCTGGCTGTCTCAAATCACCTCCCTGTCCTCCATGTGCCTTAGCATAGCTTCCAGGAGGATCTGTTCCACAATCTTCCCAGGCACAGAGGTGAGACTTACTGGCCTATAGTTCCCAGGTCTTCCTTTTTTCTCTTTTTAAAAACAGGGATTATGTTTCCCCTTTTCCAGTCAGC